ATGTGGAGAAACTCTTTCTGAAGAAACAATCATGGAGAAAGTATTGAGATCCCTTACTCCTCAATTTGATTACATTGTGGTAGCAATAGAACATTCCAAAGATCTGAGCACAATGAGAATTGAAGAGCTGCAGAGCAGTTTAGAAGCGCAAGAGTTGCGTTTGACTGAGAGAACTTCTGAAAGGGAAGTAGAGCAGCAGGCTCTGAAAGCAATTTCTGATAGGAGGTATCAGAAGCAGTCAGAAGCCAAGAGAAGATCTGATGGTGGTCAGAAGTCAGAAACCTCAACCTCTGATAGACAAAAGAATGCTCAGAAGGGAAAAGAGAAGTATGACAAGAAGAATATCCAATGTTACTGTTGTAAGAAGTTTGGTCACTTTGCTAGAGATTGTTGGTCAAACAAGGAGAAGAAATCAGAAGAAGCAAATATAGCCAGAAGTTCTGATGACGAATCTGTGCTATTGATGGCCTCTGAATCTGATGATCTGACAGACTGGTGGTATATGGACACTGGCTGTTCAAATCATCTTACTGGAAACAAGAAATGGCTAGTTGACTTTGACTCTGAAAAGAGAACAAAGATCAGATGTGCTGATGACAAATATCTTAATGCAGAAGGTATGGGAAATGTCAGAGTGACTCTGAACAATGGAAAAATAGCATTGATTCAGAATGTGTGGTATGTACCTGGCATCAGAAGCAATCTGATGAGTGTGGGACAATTAATTGAGAAAGGTTTCTCAGTTACCATGAAGGACAATCTTCTGAAGCTGTATGACTGTAATCAGAAGTTGATTATGGAGTCAGAACAGGGAAGGAATAGAACATTCAAGGTGAATGTCAGAACTGCAGACTCAGAGTGTCTTAGTGCAACAAGTACTGAGATGGAGAGTGAGCTGTGGCACAGAAGATTTGGTCATTTGAATTTCAGAAGCTTACAACATCTGAATTCAAAGAAATTGGTACATGGAATTCCTACAATTAAGAAGCCTGAAAAGTCATGCAAAGTTTGCATGGAAGGAAAACAACCAAGATTGCCATTTGCATCAGAAGTTGCTCCAAGAGCAAAACATGCCTTGGGAGTTGTACACTCTGATGTGTGTGGTCCATTTCCAGTAGCATCAATTGGAGGGAATAAATACTTTGTGTTATTTGTTGATGAATTCACAAGAATGACATGGGTATCCCTTATTAAGTTTAAACACGAGGTGTTTGATGAATTCAAGAAGTTCAGAATGAAGGTTGAGAATCAGAGTGGTCAGAAGTTGAAGATTCTTAGAACTGATGGTGGAGGTGAGTATAACTCCAAAGAGTTCCAGAAGTTCTGTGAGGAGAATGGAATTGAGCATGAGGTTACTGCTCCTTATACCCCTCAACACAATGGTCTTGCTGAAAGAAGAAACCGTACTTTGCTTGATATGGTGAGAAGCATGCTAAAGGAGAAGAAGCTTCCTCAGAAGCTCTGAGGAGAAGCTGTTGCCACTGCAACGTATGTACTCAACAGATGTCCTACGAAGAAGTTGAAGGAAATAGTTCCTATGCAGAAGTGGACTGGAGACAAGCAAAGTGTTAGTCATCTGAAGGTATTTGGTTCTGTTTGCTATAAACATGTTCCAGAAGCCAGAAGACAGAAGCTGGATGATAGAAGCAAAGTGATGATTCTGATAGGGTACCACAGTACAGGTGCATACAAGCTCTATTGTCCAGAAACTAATAAAATTGAATTCAGCAGAGATGTGATTGTGAAGGAATCAGAAGTTTGGAATTGGGATAAGTCTCAATCTGATTCTGATGTTAGAACCTCTGAAGAAAGGCCAGAGTTAAGAATTTCTGAAATTGAAGTAAACCCTGATATTGACTCTGACTCTGATACTGATTCAAACTCTGAAGAAGACTCAGAAGATGAAGGTGACCCAGATGACCCAGACTCTGATGATTCAGACTCTGATGGCAATCCAGATCTTGGTGGCAATTCAGACTCTGGAAATATGCCAGACTCTGAAGATGGTCAAAGCTCTGGAGGTCAATCATCTGAAGCTAGAAACTCTGAAGCTCAAGACTCTGAACAAGTTCAGAGACCACAAAGAATCAAAAGCGTTCCCAGAAGATTTGCAGAATTTGACATGCTGCAAGACACTGAAGTAGACTCTGAAGGAGAAGTTATTCAGTGTGCCATGTTAGTAGACTCTGAACCTATAAGTACAGAGGAGGCTCTTAAGCAGAAGCTCTGGCTGAAGGCCATGAAAGAAGAACTTGATGCTATAGAGAGAAACAAGACTTGGAAGCTGACAGAACTTCCAAAAGACAAGAAAGCCATCAGCGTCAGATGGGTTTTCAAGCAGAAGTTAAAGCCAGATGGCTCAATTGGCAAACATAAAGCAAGGTTGGTAGCCAGAGGATTTCTACAGAAACCTGGGCTGGATTATTCTGAAGTGTTTGCACCTGTAGCAAGACATGAAACAATCAGAATGGTGATTGCAATAGCTGCTAACAGGAATTGGCCTCTGATGCATTTAGATGTAAAATCTGCATTTCTGAATGGTCCATTAGAAGAAGAAGTTTACGTGTCACAACCTCCTGGATTTGTGAAAAAGAATCAGGAAGGGATGGTGTACAGATTATACAAAGCTCTATATGGATTGAAACAAGCGCCCAGAGCTTGGAATCAGAAGATTGATTCATTTTTCAAGAAGCAAGGCTTTCAGAAATGTGAGATGGAGTACGGTGTCTATGTTCAGCATACTTCTGAAGGCAATATGACTCTGGTATGTTTATATGTTGATGATATACTATTGACTGGAAGTTCTGAACAGGAGATAGCCAAGTTCAAGAAGGTTCTAATGAATGAATTTGAAATGACTGATCTAGGCAAAATGACATACTTTCTAGGGATGGAGTTCAGATATTCTGAGAAAGGTATCATTTTGCATCAGCTCAAGTATGAATTAGAACTTCTGAAGAGATTTGATCTGAAGAATTGTAAGATGGCTGTCACACCTTCTGATACAAATCAGAAACTGGATTCAGACTCTGAAGGAAAGGATGTGGATGCTACAACCTTCAAACAGTTGGTTGGTTCTCTGAGGTATCTGTGCAATACCAGACCTGATATTTGCTACTCAGTTGGGATGGTTAGTAGGTTCATGAGTAAACCTAAGTGGTCCCATTACCAAGCTGCTGTCAGGATTCTGAGGTATATCAAAGGAACTCTGAAGTATGGAGTGTTATTTCCCTCTGGAGGAAATAATGAGTCAGAACTTCTGAGTTATTCAGACTCTGATTGGTGTGGAGACAGAGTTGACAGAAGAAGTACATCTGGGTACTTGTTCAAATTTCTGGAAGGTCCTATTTCTTGGTGTTCCAAGAAGCAACCTGTTGTGGCGTTGTCAACCTGTGAAGCTGAATACATTGCAGGTGCTGTTACTGCATGCCAAGCTGTGTGGATTCTGAATCTGTTGCAGGATCTGAAGATTAAGGTAGACAAACCTCTGAAGTTGATGATTGACAACAAGTCTGCAATCAACCTTGCTAGAAACCCAGTGCTGCATGGGAGAAGCAAGCATATTGAGACCAAGTATCATTTTCTAAGACATCAAGTTCAGAGTGGAGTGTTAGAAGTTGTACACTGCAGCACTCAGAAGCAGTTGGCAGATGTTCTGACGAAAGCTATCAAGACTGATCAATTTTTCAGATTAAGGGATGGAATTGGTGTTACAAGTTTTGATGGAATATGAATTAAGGGATGATATTAGTAATAATTCATATTTTATTATATTATTTTCTTAAGCCCATAAGTTTGTTAGAGGGCATTTCAGTATTTTATCTTATTCTAGTAACCCTAGTTTTAGCCTATAAATAGGGTGACAATCATTGTAACTCTTAATCCTGTTTCTTCTGCCGTCATTCTCTTTGCAAAGTTGGACACCATCAATAGAGTTCGAACTTTAAATCTTAGTTCAATAAATAAAAGTCGATATGATCATTTCGAATTCAATTTTATTACTTTTAATAAAACAAACTTTATTAAAAAAGACAATAAAGTTAGAACTCGGATCAAACACCTTTACAATAAAATTAACAAACTATCCCACCTTATCACTAGCAGGGACGAAGCTACATCGGAGACTATGTAAGCCTATGCCCCGACTAGAATAAAAAAATTCAATTCTAATATACTACATAATAATGTTGATAACAGATATATTGCATGCTTATTTCAATTTAAAATATACTAATAAGCAGAATGTTTATTATATGTTTATGATTATATATTTTTAGAATTAAAGAAACATTAATGATCTATAAACTTTGTGAAGATAAAATATATTGTATAATTATAAATAGAAAATAAGAAAATTATTAATATTTTTAAAATATTAAAAGTTATAAAAAAATTATAATATTTATTTATAAAAAAGATATTATATTTTTAGCATAATAAATTTATAAATTTTGTCCTCACAATGTCATAATTTGTGCTTGCAATTAGTATAAACTGAATTACAAACTTCCAAATAATATAGTTTGAATATCTCTTGCATCTTCTCATCTCTCTTTCCCACATTGCTTCATTTTTACACAACTCAAGCAACATTACCACCATTATGAGTGAAGAAGACACATCTTTTAATCATCTTGAGGATGATAATTATGGCATTAACCATAATAGTACCAATTTAGATTCAAAGAAACCTTCAAATGACACATACTGAGGTGATTTTAGGGACACTGCAACCTCACTTGGAACAAAGAATGGTTTCAAATTTCGAGAACAAAAGTATCACTCAAAACACATAACTTCATTATAGCATAAGACCATTGTAGTAAGATATCAATACATATTGTGCAGTTCTATAACTTTATGACAGCATAAGAGCATTGTAGTAATATATCAAATACATATTTATTGAATTAGCATATACATAAAAATAATGCATACATACAATTACAGAGAAGTTCAACAGTCAACTTCACAATATTGGATTGAATGTTAAGAGATCATCATATGACACGGCTGCGTTTGGCATCAACAGAAGCAGCTTCCAAATCCCCAATGAAAAAAAGAATTTTGTCCAAAATTCCTCGGCACGATCTTTCTTCAGCTTGAGAACTTTCTTCAGTTAAGTCCGTTTCTGAACTAAGAGTATGATCAGTTACTTGCCGCGGAATTTTTCTTGATCCCAGATATCGTTGAACTTCACCTTGGTGAACAAGATAGTAGTCACTTCCTTCTCTAATAATCTTCAAACCCCTATTTTGTAAAGAGTTATATAAAAGTCATTTCCTTTGTATCAGAGTTCGAAAACTTCTACAAATTAGATTATCTTATAATGTATGACTGCAAACCAAATCAAACCAAACCAATCTCGGGCATCAATTTGAGATCAAACAATTTAGAATGCTAAGTTAGAAAATTAATTTTAGACAATCTCACGTTGATTTGAGATTGGATGGTCAAGATCAGTAACTGTTTGTTGCAGAGTAAACTAAACAACTTACAGTCCAACTCGATCACAACGATCTTCCACCTCGTATACTTCTTTCCACGATTTTGAACCATTGGGAGCATAAAAGGTAGCACGGCCTTCTCCCCATCTCTCCTTAAAGAGCTTTGCCCATAGAGCATTGTCTGAAGCCATGAGCTTCCATTTCCTACAAACTGCAAAACAATTTGTCAAATTCATAGCTTTGATATAATGCATCATTGACAATTTGGATCTGAACCAAGTCTGTCTTAAGTTTTTTGAAGTTTTGTGTAGATTAGTGTGATTTAAACCTGACAAAACAAATAGGGGCCCGATTTTGTCATGATTTAACGGTGACAAATATTTTATGAAGCCCTATTTAGCTCCCACTTAATTGTGTTAAATTTTGGACTCTATGTGGTTGTCGGTCTTGCACGCCCAGAAAGACCGCTATGATCTGATCTATTTTCAATTTGGAACAACTAGGTTCCTTGTTTATCACTGTGATGATAAATAGTAAAAATTAATGATAATATCTAACAATTATGTAAAGTCAATTGAATTGAATTGAAGAAACCTAATTCAGATTTTCAGATCTAATAACAATGTTTCAATGGAATTCTCATAGATTATAATTTGAAACACAAAATAACACAAGAATAAAGAGGGAATCATCATCATCAATATCATCCATCACTGACCTTGTTGAGAAACAGCAAGATGGTGGTGATCTAAGAAACAGAATATCTTCATACAGATTTCCAAAGGTAAAGTCTCCATTTTGAGATTAGATAATAGAATTCAATTCAATTCATTCATGCAAGATCAAAAACAGTAACTGGTTTTGTTTCAAGAAAGGTAGGAGTGGTTTCTTGAGATTCTGATATGGAAATAATAAAATTATCTTTCGGTTGATTCAGCAAACAATTGCTTCCTCCTTCTCATGTGTCCGAATCCTCTTGTCAATCTCCATTTCCATTCATAACAAATTGACACGTGGCATGATAGATGACTTTGAGTTTATTAAATTTATAAAAGTATTATTCATATTATTGTAAGGTCACAACTATTTCAACCTATCACCAAAGTGTGTCTATATATATATATATATATATATATATATATATATATATATATATATATATATATATATATATATATATATATATATATTAATGACTTTTAATTGGTTGTTGTTTCAGTTAACATTATATTATGAGTCCAAGTTATTTATTTAGATTTAACTTTGCGTATCAACCAATTACAACATTCTTAGCCTGCTGCTTTATGGATTCTGATGATGATAATCATCAAAATAATTTAATAAAAAAATGAAGAATTAGTTGAATATCCAAAAAAATATGGATAAACTTAACCGATGGGTTATACCCTCAGTTCCTTCTAATCAAATTTATAGATTTGGTAAGATAGATGTTTTTTCTCGTTTTGCTGGTAAAACTTTAGAGCAAACAATTCAAATTTCTAAAGAAACTCAGACAATAAAACTGTTAATTAAAAAAGATTTGAAACCTTTTAAAAATTATAATTTTATCCATATTGGATTGGTTCAAATTGCATTAAAACCTTTAACATTATTAGGTTTAAATTCTAGCGTAATGGCTTATGTTAGAGATGGTAGATGTAAAGATTTGAAACAATCTTTAGCTGTTATGGTTGAGACAAGTCTGTGTCATGGAGCAGTTTACTTTGATGTCTCACCTAATTTAAATCTAACTTTATCTGATAAAAATTTATTAGATGCTATGCAATTAACAGTTCACACTAATGGTTACAATTTTAAACCTGGAAGTGAAATCATAGCAATATGCTATAGAATCTACTATAAAGTTCTTACTACGCTTAATCCTAAAGTAAAACATTTATCATTTCCTGGAACGACTACTTTGGTTCAAACAAATTTATTAACATCCAATGTTGCAACCAATAGGTTAATAAAGTGGGATGAAATAAACTTCCCAGAGACATGGTCTCTCCCCTAGGAAATAGATCCTGAACCTATCCTTAATAGGGATATAGACCAAATTATTGAGACTACTGAAGGAGATTTGGAAATAAACTTCACTTCAAAAAGAATAACTAGAATACCCAAGTCTCTATCTACTAGACACTCAATTAGTGAATTTTATACAGCTCCTAGTCAATTACCTAGACCTTCTACTTCTCAAATAAGAGAAGAAATAGAGGTCGTTGAGAATATAAGACTAAGAGAAAATAGAGTTTCCCATGGAATTTATCAAAAACCTCATACTCTAAGAGTAGAATCACCTACTCAGTCAGATATGGATTTCCATTTATAATGATAGATTACTCCCCTGGTGGTAAGATGAGACAACTCATTAATGATGAGTTTCAACATGAGAGATACTCTCAACTTAGAAATCGTTTTTTTTTAAATTTCAAAACCTGAATTAGCCCAATTTAAAGACGAGTATTACACTCAAATGAACCTTGAGCAGAATTTCGTTCTTTTGTTAAATGATTTGTTAATTACTTCATAAATAAAAAGCAAGAAGAAATTCTTATGTTACAAAGACCTTGGGAAAACATTAGAGTAGAAATAATGGAATCTCCTTTCCCCCTGAACAAACAATAAGTTTGAGTCAAAATACTGAAGCTACCCCTTACCTTAGCCTTCAGTTACAAAGAGTTGAACAAAGTCAAGTTACTCTTAAGGAATTAAATTCAGTCATCAGGTCTCAAAATTATACCAATGCTTACCTTGTTTGCTTAGGAGAACAATTTATCTCCATGGAAAAAGATCTCTTATCCATAAAAGATCTTTTAGAAAAACAAATAGAGCATCCAGATATCATTATTGACCACATAAATAAACCTAAAGACCAAATATCCGCATCCACTATTTCGGATGTGCAACCTCCTGTTTCAATAGAAAGATTTAAAATGGAAACCAATGGACAAAAATTTGTTCGTATTTTAGAACAAAAATTAAAAGGACTTAATATCACTGTCATGTCCCATGAAGATTATTCTTAGGATAATAATGATAACCATATTGACCAGCTTTCTGATATGTTTGCTAATTTAGACATTAGTATCCTTGATATTAATAATACTAATAGTATTAATAATACTACTAGTATAAACCCTGTTTATTCCCTAAGACCTATAGAAAAGTATTATTACAAGCGTCCCTCACCGCAAGACTTGCTTTTTGAGGAATCAGAACCTTTCCAAAATTCTTATTCAGGAAAAGCCATTTATGAATGGAATGTTGATGGTCTTAATGACAAACAAATTATAGATACAATCCATATGATGATCATGTACTCTACTGTTTGCAAGCAACATGAAAATTCTGATAGTTCAATAGTATCCTTTATAACAACAGGATTTGTTGACCAACTTAGAGGCTGGTGGGATCATTATCTCACTGAATCTCAAAAATTAGAGATTCTTAATAAAAAAAACCGTTAAGAACGAACCAAGAACTAGTACGAGCATTATTATGGCTACGACCACCATAGGAGAAGAAGATGCAGTGTATACACTGTGTCTTTCCATCTTACAACATTTTGTAGGAAACAATGGCCCCATTGGAGAAAAAATCCAGACACTTCTCCAAAACCTTAGGTGTCCTTCTCTTACCCACTTTAGATGTGTCCTTCTCTTACCCACTTTAGATGGTATAAGGATACTTTTCTTTTAAGAGTTTATCAATTAAACAATCCCAATTCTTTGCACTGGAAAGCAAAATTTATTAATGGATTACCCCATTTCTTTTCTGAAAAGGTTAGACAATCTTTAAGACAAAAAAATGATGGAATAAATATAAATTTTTCTGACCTTACTTATGGTCAAATAATTAGTACTTGTGTTAATGAAGGATTAACTTTATGTAATGACATAAAGCTTAGAAGTCAACTTAAAAAGCAAAAGCTTTCTGAGAAACACCAACTTGGTGAATTTTGCGAACAATTTGCTTTTGATCTTGGAAAATCTCCAGAAAATAAAAAGAAAAAAGGAAAAAATTTCCGCAATAAACCTTATAGGGATAAGCCAAAAAATTCTTATAAAAATTCTTATAAGAATAAGAAAAGGGGTCACTACAATAAGGGTAGACCTAAAGAAAAATCTTTTGACCCTAAAGGTAAAAGAAAAGGCAAAAAGCTTGACATAACATGTCATAAATGTGGCAAACCTGGCCATTATGTCAACCAATGCTGGACTAAAAAAATTCTTAATGAGATAGAAGATGAACAATTACGTTCTCAATTAGAGAAAGTTCTACTTCTCAATTCTGATTCTGAAAATTATTCTTCAGAAGAAGATATTAATATGATCTATGAACCCTCTACTGATTCCTCTTCTGAATATTCTGACAATAATGATTGTCAATGTAGTCAATTAGATTATTAGAAATCAATTGTTGAGATGAATGCGTTAAATGTTTTAACCTCAGAACAGGACGAAAAGTTATAGAATCCATTTCTGATAAAAAAAACTAAAAAGAAAAATGCTTGAAGTCTTAATACAAGAAAACTCTAAAAAATAGTTTCCCATTATTACAGAAGCACCTTACCAATTAAGTGAGGTTTTGTCTAGGTTTAGACAATCTAACATCCGTGAAACTCCCGTTTCTATTATGGATTTAAATAGAGAAATAAACCTCTTAAAAAATGAGATATCTCAGATTAAAAAAGAAAACTATGGTTTATCTCAAAGAGTCACTTTTTTAGAATCCAATAATTCAAAGGTGGAAGAAATAACTTCAACTAGTAATCCTTCACCTAGTGATGATTTCCTTTCTCTCATTGATAGAGTGACCTCTCAAAAATGGTTTGTTAGAATAACTTTAGTTATTAATAGAAATTTCATATTAGAAAATGAAGTTGTCCTTATTGATAGTGGCGTTGATTTAAATTGCTTTCAAGAAGGAATTATTTCTACTAAATATTTTGACAAAACTACCCAATCTCTTACCCAAGCCGGAGGAGATAAACTCACGGTTAATTATAAACTGTCTAATGCTTATGTTTGTAACAAAGAAATTTGTTTGCCTACTCATTTCATTCTTGTAAAAAATTTAACTCATAGAATTATATTAGGAACTCCCTTTCTGCATAAAATAATGTCTTTGATTAATGTTGATCAAAAGGGAATTACTTCTATTATCAATAATAAAAGAAATACCTTTGAATTTATTACTGATCCTCATACTAGGATGATTAATGAAGTTAAAGATATTCTTCTTAAAAAAAATTGTTTTCTTAAAGAAGAAGTGGGTTTATTAAACATCACTTCTCAACTTAAAAAACTTGAAATTCAAAATCAAATTAAATTAATTGATCAACAGTTTAGAGATGAAATATGCAATGATTTACCTAATGCCTTTTGGGATAGAAAGAAACATGTTATTTCCTTGCCTTGATGACTTTAATGAAAGTCAGATTCCCACTAAAGCTAGGTCTGCTCAAATGAACTACGAGTATTTGGATTTATGCAAAAAAAAGATAGAATCACTTTTAGAGAAAAAAATTAATAAGAAAGTCCAAATCTCCTTGGAGCTGCACAACTTTTTATGTTAATAATGCCGCCGAAAGGGAACGTGGAGTCCCTAGACTTGTTATAAATTACAAACCACTTAATAAAGTGTTAAAATGGATTAGATATCATATTCCTAATAAAAAAGATCTTTTAGATAGATTAAACAATGCTTTAATCTTCTCTAAATTTGATATGAAATCTGATTATTGGCAAATTCAGATTAATGAATCTGATAAGTATAAAACAACCTGTTGTGAATCGAATACCTTTAAACAAAGTATAAACGGTTTCTTAGCAAGAAACACACAAGGGTTAGGGTTAATAAAGAAGAAAATAACAAGGATTGGTTATTAAACTACTATTCTTTCCTTTCTCTTAGAACAAGATTACAAGTATACAAGAATAACAAAATAACCTCTCTCTCTTGAAATTAGGATTTTATCTTCCTATTTTTCCTTGTGTCAAGATTGAGAAACTAGCATCCTATTTATAATAAAATAGCACACTAACCTAATGGGCTTTTTAACAATTACCCATTACAAGTCAACTTAGGGTACAAGCTAACTTAAACAATTGGGCTTACAAGCAAGGCCCAATTCAACATGCTAACAACCCTAGCAATATTTACTAATGCATGTTAAAACAGACTTCGACTACAATATGCATTACTCGCGAACAGACTTCGACTATACTAGAGTTCGATCCAACATCTCACAAATCTCCACCTTGGATCTAACTCTATAACATCAAGAAACTAGCTTTCTTCATGCAGCTTTATTAGCTGCATACAATGGAAAAATTGCAACTGGGCAACATCTTGGTGATCATATCAGCAACATTATGATCTGTTGAAACCTTCAGCAATTGGACTTCTCCACGCTCGATTACCCCTTTGATGAAATGCAGTCTCACATAAATGTGCTTGGTTCGCTCATGATAGGCTGAATTCTTCGACAGGTGTATTGCACTTTGACTATCACATTTAACAGTGATAACTCGACCTTGAAGTTTTAGCTCCTTTGCAAAACCTTCAAGCCACAATGCTTCCTTCACAGCTTCAGTTAGGGCAATATACTCCGCTTCAGTGGTTGATAAAGCAACGACCTTCTGAAGTGTTGCTTTCAAACTGATTGTTGTCCCAAACATAGTGAACACATATCCAGAGATAGATTTTCTAGAATCCATACAACCTGCATAATCAGAGTCAACATATCCTTCGATTGCTGCTTTACTATCTTCACCCAAGGCTCCACCATAAATTAGGACTCTATTTAGAGACCCATTTATGTACCTTAAAATCCACTTACAGTTGACTAACCTGGCTCCAGCAGGTTTCTTGTTCAGTTCTCAGGTGTTGTTATCATGAAGAGATTTCATCTCATCATTCATGGCCTTCATCCATTCATTCTTCTTTCGACTACTCATAACTTCCTTATAGTCTTTAGGTTCTTCATCTAGAACCTTACTAGCAGAGATTAAGGCATAAGCTATAAGATCTGCATACCCAAGTCTCTGAGGTGGCTTGATGACTCTCCTTGACCTATCTCTTGCTAGCAGGTAGTCATTATCAATCTCCTCATCTTCGACAACATCTTCTGCGTCGTCTTCGACTTCATCTGGGGTAAGCAATTCAGCATCAACATGTTCCACCTCAACAGGAATCTCTCCCTGTTCCAGCTCTTCGTCAACATCATCAATTTTCTTGAAAGTCATCTCTGCTTCATTGAAAACTAGATCTTGACTGGTGATACACCTCCTGTGACCTGGCTCTAGGCACCATAGCCTATAAGCTTTGACTCCTTCAGGGTATCCCATGAACATGCATTTCAGAGCTCTAGGTTCGACCTTGTCTTGCCTAATATGAGCATAGGCCACACAGCCAAATACTCTCAGCCTGTCGAGACTAGGTGGATGTCCCGACCAAACTTCTTCAGGTGTCTTCATTCCCAAGGTAGTCGAGGGACATCTATTTATCAGGTAAGTTGCTGTCGAAACAGCTTCCGCCCGAAGCACCTTCTTCAATCCAACACTAACCAACATGCATCTGACCCTTTCAAGGATTGTTCGATTGAATCTCTCAGCTAAGTCATTTTGTTGAGGAGTACCTGCTACAGTCTTATGTCTTGCAATCCCAGACTCAACACAGTAACTGTCGAACGCTTCGTTGCAGAATTCAAGGCCATTGCTGGTTCTCAACCTCTTAACCTTTCTGCCAGTTTGAGTTTCGACCAAAATCTTCCAACTTTTGAAATTCTCAAAAGTTTCATCCTTCGTCTTCTAAATGAATACCCATAGCTTTCTGGAATAGTCATCAACGATGGATAGAAAATACCTTGCACCTGAGTGTGAAGGATTTCTTGCAGGCCCCCAAAGATCAGCATGAATGTAATCCAGGGATCCATGTGTTCTTTGCTTGCCTTTATTAAACTTCGCCCTACAGGATTTACCAAATACACAAGATTCACAAAACTCCAACTTTTCGACTTTGTCACCTCCTAGCAGGTTCTGCTTCCCCAATTCGACCAGACCTCTTTCCCTAACATGGCCCAATCTCATGTGCCATAATTTTGTTTTCGACATAGGTTTCGTGGATGCAATATTTGTCGAACCACTTACAACCTCAACCTCAAGGGTATACAAGCCTTGTTTCTTCACGCCTCTCAAGACTTCCTTCGATCCCTTTATGACTATTAGGATACTTTTCTCTCCTTGAAAAATGTATCCTTTTCTATCAAATTCACCAAGAGAAATCAAATTTCTCTTCAAGATAGGTACGTACCTGACTTCAGCCAATAACCTTATTGACTCATCATGGAGCTTGAATCTTACAGATCCAATACCTACAATTTTTCAAGACTTGTTGTTTCCCAACAGCACAGATCCACCATCTTGATCACATAGCTCCTCGAACAAATCTTTGTTTGGAGTCATGTGCCAAGTGCAACCTGAATCCATAATCCACTATTTCCTCGAGTCGCCACTTGAAACCACAAGAACATCAGATAATTCGAAGTCATCTTGAACAATGGCTGCATTGCCATTACCTCCATGATCTTTCAGGCGTTCAGGGCACACTTTTCTTATGTGACCCTCCTTCTTACAGTGATAACATCGAATACTAGATGTTTCGCCACTATAAGACTTCTGTTGACTTTTACCTTTCTTCTTGTCGAACTTACCATCCTTTCGCAAGAATTTTCCCTTAACAGGCAAACCTTCGCCCACCGTCAAAGGTTTATGCTCCTTTCGTTCGTTCAAGTCCTTAGAATACAAGGCTGATTGAACTTCTTCAAAGGTCAGGGACTCCCTTCCATACAAGAGAGTTTCTTTGAAGTGAGCATGTGTTCTGGGCAAAGCACACAGCAGCAATATTGCTTGATCTTCATCATCGATCTTCACATCAATATTTTCAAGATCAAGAATCAGCTTGTTGAACATATTCAACTGCTCAGTCAACACTTTATCTTCACTCATCTTGAATGAATATAAAGCTTGCTTCAGGTAGAGTCGATTCACCAGAGATTTGGTCATGTACAAACTTTCAAGTTTCATCCATAATCCCGATGTTGTAGTCTCCTTTGATACCTGTCAAAGAACCTTATCACCAAGGCTCAACAATATTGCGATGTGGGCTTTCTCGATCATGCCCGTCTTTTCTTTTGTCGTTAACGCAACGTCCATGGTTGCCTCACCCTTCAACGCTTCCAAACAACCCTGCTAAACCAATAGGGCTTTCATCTTCAAGTGCCACAGACCGAAGTCGTTCACTCCGGTGAACTTTTCAATCTCATACTTTGTTGAAGGCATCTTCTCCATGCTCACCGCACCAATTTGTTGTGAATCGGATACCTTTAAACAAAGTATAAATGGTTTCTTAGCAAGAAACACATAAGGGTTAAGGTTAATAAAGAAGAAAATAACAAGGATTGGTTATTAAACTGCTATTCTTTCCTTTCTCTTAGAACAAGATTACAAGTATACAAGAATAACAAAATAACCTCTCTCTCTTGAAATTAGGATTTTATCTTCCTATTTTTCCTTATGTCAAGATTGAGAAACTAACATCCTATTTATAATAAAATAACACACTAACCTAATGAGCTTTTTAACAATTACCCATTACAAGCCAACTTAGGGTACAAGCTAACTTAAACAATTGAGATTACAAGCAAGGCCCAATTCAACATGCTAACAACCCTAGCAATATTTACTAATGCATGTTAAAACAGACTTCGACTACAACATACATTACTCGCAAACAGACTTCGACTATACTAGAGTTCGATCCAACATCTCACACAACCTTTACCGTACCTTTTGGACATTATGAATGGAATGTCCTTCCTTTTGGTCTTAAAAATTCCCCCTCTGAATTTCAAAATATTATGAATGATATTTTTAATCCTTATACAGAATTTATAATTGTTTATATTGATGATGTTTTAGTTTTTTCAAAAACTATAGATCAACATATTAAACATTTGAAAATATTCAAAGGATTAATTAAGCATAATGGATTAGTAATATCTGGTCCTAAGATGAAACTTTTTCAAACAAGGGTTAGATTTTTAGGACATGAAATTGACCAAGGAACTATAATTCCTATACATAGAAGTATTGAATTTGCTTCTAAATTCCCTGATATTATTACAGATAAGAAACAATTACAAAGGTTTCTTGGTAGCCTCAATTACATAGCAGATTATTATGAAAATCTTGCTAAAGATACGAAAATATTACATGCTAGACTTAAAAAGAATCCTGGCCCTTGGACTGAAAAACATTCTCAGGCAGTCCAAAGAATTAAAAGCAAGGGAAAAATGATGACCCCATATAGGGGTAGAGGCCGCGGTTATGGTCGTGGTGGGAGAAGGAGTAACAATATGTTACCCCAGCCAGAATCAAACATTCCTCTAATAGGGGATTGGACTACTGTCTACAAAGGTAGAAAAATGCAACAATTACCTGCATCTTCAGCAAAAAAGGAAGACATTGCTTCCTCTTCATCTAATAAAACTACATCCTACAAGGAAGTTGCGATTAATAACCCACCTCAAGAACAAATGGATTATTTTGAAAATCCAGTAACTGAAAAAATCATGTATATTGATGATGAAGATATGAAGATAAATCCAAATGATGGTTGGTCTATCAAAACTAGTTACCTCGAATCAAGAGGATATCCAGGTCTTCATGGAAACAATTACTCACCATTACCAAAACAATAATCCTGAAAGTTTTATAAACTTCAGTAAATGTCACATTAACAAAATTTTGTTACCAAGAGAATGGGGTCTCAACCCAAATGCTGAAAAGGCAATAAGAATTACAGAAGGAAAGTATATTTACTTTAATTATTGGGACTATGTCCAAGCTTTCACTCAAGCTTTTTATTACCAAAATCCCAAGAACAAGCATTCTTGGTTTTTCTCTATTAATCAAGAGATGGTTAATAAACCCATACCAAATTGATTTTATGAATGGTGGGCTAAATTTGGTCCATCTTTGGAGATTCTTCCTAAAGAAATTCTTAACTTATACAATCCATGGTGTGATAATAGTCCACTTATTGTAAAAAATTTATCTGATAATTTGATCACTGGACAATGTCCATTCTTGTTCTTTACTAAATTTCATATTCCATGGATATGGAGATGGTCAATCACCATATCAAAAAACAAATTCAACATTCCCATTTTAGAAAGAAATTTCTTCTATAAATGGTGGAACAAGATGAGTTCAGAGGATGTCCAGAATAAAATGAAATTAATTCAAGAAGCTATAGTTGAAGACCAGAATAATAAGGTAAAGGAGCAAAGCTCCCAAAAAATGTCTATGGAAAACTTGAAGAACTTCTTCCAGAGGAAATACCTCAATGAATCAGAAGATGAAATCATGGTTAGAATTTTGGATCATATGAAGAACCAATTCTTCTCTACTTTTCCAACAAAAGCATCAAAAGATGAGGATTCATCTATGAAGACAAGTTCTTCCATGGGATCAATGGATTCCCATAACTTTGATGGTTTGGCAGGAGAAGGTCAAGCAGATGAAGCTACTGCAGAAAATTTCTGGGATGCAATGATTCAATCTATGAAAGTAAAAGGAAAAGCAAAGAAGTAAATTATTATCTTGTCTAGAAACAATGGAATAAGAATCAATGGACAAAGGCTAGAGGACAAGAAATAATAGAAGAAAAATCTTTACAAAAGCAAAAGACAGGGGAATCTTATCTTGTCTTTAAAATTTCTAAGCATAATTGCATGCATTTCCTTTCTTTTGTAAAAGACAGGGGAATACGAATCTTATCTTGTCTTTAGAATTTCTAGGCATAATTGCATACATTTTCTTTCTTTTGTTAAAATTTTTGGTTTCTTGTTAATTGTTGTGTCGATGGGGCCCAAAGAGTACCCGACAATAATTATACAAGTTGTGTTTTAGTTTACCGACTATTGTAAGTAGCGGTTACCGGCTTAAATAGTAAGTCTTTTCTTCCCTATATAAAGGGATTTCAGTTTCTTTTGTAAACACACCTTCGAATAACAAGTTTAAAGTTTCTTGTAATATTGTCTCTACCATCTTCTATACTCCTTTTTATTCAAACTATTTCGATCCTGCTTCCACTATACAAACTTTGGTAGCCTTTTCTTTTAATTGCTCTGATACCAAAGTTTGTATAGCGGAAGCAGGATCGAAATAGTTTGAGTAAAAAGGAGTATAGAAGATGGTAGAGACAATATTACAAGGAAACAAGGTCAGATTCATTTGCAGACTTAACACCTCTTTCTACCTTGAAGGGGTGGAAAATAACGTTATAATCGGCTTGCTCCCCTAGTATTCACATTAGTGTTGAAAATTTTTGACAAACACCCAACTCACATGGTGGAACTGAGAAGGGGGTGATGAGCACATGGTTTAAGACACCAGCTTGAAACTCGTTAAAGGAAATATGATAACTAATGAAAGAAAATAGGAATTTGTGGAATGGAATCGTACACTCCCTATACGGACTATAAATCCTTTGATCCTCATCTAGAAGGATCATGCCATAGTATTATGGCGAGCCAACGTGGATTACTGCTTGAACGAAAGCATCGCTGTGAGAGAAGGCATAAGCAACTTCTAATATTTTTGAATTCACCCAAACTCGTGAAATATATTTATCATTCTTCTTGGTTGAAAATGATGTGATAACCATGGCTAGAAATAGTAGTAAACCAATGCAAGTGCGATGAAGATAACAAAAAAACTTAAACGCTTGCAACCCCAAAAAACCCTAAAACATGTCAAACATGGGCGGAAGTAGAAGGATCGGATATTGAAACTTATATGCATTATGAAAATCAGAGACACAAAGATGAAATCTACAAAGTAAAATCTTCATAGCTTGAACCGACACAGGTGCAAATATATGTCTAAGAGAGATTTGAAAAGAGCAAGAACGTTTTCTTATGCATAGTCAATGACATTCATAAGAGCAATGATGACAGTTTGAGAACCTTAAGTGCCCTTTGAAATGCTAAAGATCGTCTAATCGCTCCGTACTATTCGCAGTGAAGATTCACCCAAAACAACTCAGAAGATACTCAAGCATCCTAAATAGGGGAGAAACATCATTACTAACTAAAGCAGGAGTATGTGTCACCCGTTCTCAGCGTCTTGAAGTACCGTGTGAGGGTGGTGTTTAAATGTGTTTATTCTCGAGGAAGGCGACATTTCTTTGAAAAACCGTTATTTTTAAGACTCTTGGCCGAACAAATGTTGCTCATTACAAACCATATTCCTACATAACAGAAATAAGAATTTGGGGGAAATTGTTCTAGATCTTTCGTAAGGCCCAAAAAATAACTAAAGCTCAATATTGATAAAGACCAAAACAACAAGGCAAGGAATATGCGGGTCTTATTTTTGCAAACCTCATAAGTAAACTTACACGTCGATTTCATCCTTGTTGTCCAGATTCATCTAACAATCGACCACATTTCACGCTCACACGTGCATTCTGTTGCTAACTAATTCTTTTATTTAAAGGAATGATTGCAATTTTCAAAGTATTGAATTTCTTTCTCATTTAAACATTTTTTCTTACACTTTTACTAACTTGGACGTTAAAATGCTAATCCCAAATGACAGTCTCTCTCCACTGCAACAAAACCTTGAACCACTGCAACATACCACGAGTTCAACCACTTAAAACATCACTTTATTCCAGAGTAGAATATATGTAACATCCAGTTCTTTTAAATCATTTGTAACATCATAATTACTTAAATCAATTTTTATTTTGTTAATAATATGATTTTATTTTTGTAAAATGTGATCCTAAAAACCAATTTCAAGAAATAACCATATTTAATTTTTTTTAAATGATTTTTTTAGTCAAATTTACAAATAGTCGGTTTAAAAATGGTTTTGAAATAATAACCAAATTACTATAATCAAATTTATAACCATGATTATAAATCATACTCCCTCTATTTCTTTTTAATTGTCATTCTTTTGACTTTTTACACATTTCAAGAAAATCAATCATTGTTGTTACTTTTTAAACTACTTCATTCCGCAATGAGTGATTCGGTTGACTATTTTACACAAATTACTCCCTCATTTTTAAAATGACTGTCGTTTAAGGTTTTTGCACACAGATTAAAGACTTCAATAATAGTCATAAAATATTGTATTTTTACTAAATTAATTTTATTAATGTGTTGGAAATAGTGTAGAAAATGATAATTATATGACACAATTAAAAAAATAGTAATTATTACTAACTTGAAAAATGAGAACGACAGTTATTTTAAAACAAATTTTTTTCTCTAAAACGACCGTCATTTTAAAATGGATGGAGTAACAAAAAAAAGAATGAAAGAGAATGACATTCTTTTACTAAAGTATATATTAAGAATGATGAAAGTATGAAAGAGAATGACATTCTTTTACTAAAATATATATTAAGAATGATGAAAGTAATATTAGAGAGTAAAATTAAAAAAAAAAATGTATTGAAAGTTAAAATTAATCATTTATTTTAAACTACACTTTTACTTTAAATGAATCACTCATTATTAGGACAGAAAAAACATGATTTTTCTTTTGCCTATAATACCCCTAGCTTTTAATTGTTTCGTATTTTTTTTCTTAGTTAAAAATAATTTTGACAAATTTATAATCATTACTGTTTTAAATTTTAAAAACGACTATAAAAAAAAACATGAAATTTTCACAAATGGATAGGAGGAAGTAACTCATTTGATGATTTATAGTCATTAAATGAATGAGTTGGTTACTAAAATGAACTAACCACGCACATCTATAGATATAATGACAGCGGTGTTAAGGCATATCAAGGGGGTTGTCAAAGCGTGTGGTTGAGAGGCTGTAAAGACAGCTACTCTTTAAACCCATTTCTCTTTGTTTTATATGGAACAAATGTTGATTTTTGGATTTAATATCCAAGCAAATAAAGAAAACACAATGGAGCAGACACAGATGTAAAATCCAATACTGCATTGATTTCGGCTTGTAAAACTCAATATTGCATTGATATGTGTACACTTGTTTATTTAAATTGGTTTTGTTGGGCAGATATTTTGATAGGTTCCTGAATTCATCTAAAAAATAAAAGATAAATTTAATTTTCTACAGTTCATCATTTTGTACACAAGTCCAAAGCTAGCTTGGAAAACGTCTTTAATTGCCCAAAGCAAACGTTAAAAAGAAAGAAAGAAAGGGCAGAAATACATGGACAAATACATTTTAAAACCTATACATGTATGAATGAAAACCTAACATTCTAGCTTTTCTTCTGACCCCTTAAAACCCAACCTTTCAAACTAAAGTCTATGCAAATAGCAATTGACAATATGCTTATAGGGGTCACAAAAAGGGGCAACTGGTCTTATTGAAATTTCTATTAACTTACATTGGCCGAAAGCAATGGCAATGTGGACTGAATCAAATTACTCAGTCTGCCTCTCAACCTGCTAACAGTATTCCTCAATGTTTTACATTCCATCTCAACGTGGAACTCATTGGTCTGCAGCATGTGGAGCTGCCTTTCCAGATACCTATTAAGACTAGCATTAGCGATGTTAATGAGACTGAGCGACTCACTAGTGTGCATAAATTTTGTGACAATAAATCCAGCTAGAACATGTTGATCAGCCTTCACAAGTTCGGAAATGAAATCAGGGAAAAGGATTCTTCGGAAAAACTGATTCTCATGATCTTCATCAATGGTAATCCCTCTACTTGATATCAGAGCTTGTTGAACTTGATAGGATAAGTTTCCAACCATATAGCAGAGATAAGAGAAAGTAGTACCATATGTAGAACCAGTCGCAATAGAAGTGAGAATCCCAGAAGATAAAATTAGAATTAATAACTCACAATCATTGCTCCTCGTATGCGGGATACCCTGTTTTATACTATCCTCAACTGCGCTCAGGCACTGCAACTGTAATGTTTTGTAGGGTAGCATGAGTGCTATCTTCAAAGCCAGAAAGCAATCTGTGTTTAATGCTATCTCATTTAAGCTCCTGGCATCATCTTCATCAAGTAACATACCATTAGTTTTCGATGACGATTGATCAATCATTCTCAGCACATCACTAGACCTCGACAAGCCTATGAATTTTTTCAAAATCACTGTCCAACATACATGTAAAGGGTGAACAGAAACAGAGTTCTCAATCTTTTCTTTCTCAGGCTTGTCTACTTCTTCCAGACTTTCCCACCCTTCGTCCCAATCATCATTGTTCCAGTCATTTCCTCCATCAGATGCTTCAGTGGTGATTTCTCCGTCTTTCCCGATGGTGAAAAGTCCCTCCCACTCTTCCAAAATAGAAACCAATGCGTCAAAGTGGAGATTTTCAGTAGCTTCTCCACACAACCTCAAAAAGCAAGAAACAGCCGCGTCTACATTCAATAGATCATCAGGGGTGATTTCTATGCTAGGAGAGATCGATGCCACAAGTTGAGATGATTTAAGGGCAACCAAAGTATTTGTAAACCTACTAGAGGTTTCTTTGTGATCTGGTGACTGCTTGTCAACACCAGCCTCACTCTTTCTACTAGCATAAAGCAGTTCATCCCATTCTTCCCATGGTTGGACATTGGCTAGTATTTCTGTAGAGAAACCCTTAATATTCTTTCCTGAGATAAATTGCATAAGCTCTAGCACATAAACTCTAATAGAACTTGGCAACTGTAAATTGTCAGAGAACTGGACCATTTCCCCCCAAATTACATGTCTAACACATTGCAAGACTTTTAAGTCACCTTCTAGCTTGCTTAAAGATGACAATATATGATACAGGTTCTGGCTCTCATGGGAACCATTGACCAACTCTTGCAGAACAGCTTCAAGAATATCTAAATAAAATTGAGCAAGATCCTGGGAACCTGTGCCACAATCAGAAGATGAACCAGTTTCCGATGAAGCAACAGAAAATACCTCTGAAATGGCACCAAACCCACAACCAGAAAAAACCATAGCTTTGGAGAAATTATAAATTTCTACAGAGCAATCACCATTTAAGCCGCAGTTGATGTAGGTATATATGCTGCTCCAGCCCTGACTAGGGGAGATGATATCCTCCATCACCAATTTCATAAATACTTTTAGACAACTCGTCAAACATTGCGGGTTGAAGCTATTAGTCTCTCCTGAATTTTCCTCCAATGAAAATTCCCTCATATCATCTGTCAATCCCATCCAAAAGTTCAAAAGAACAATGAGGCACTCTTGCCAAGTTGAATTGTCAGGTATGAATCCATATGAACTATGGAGAGGCACAATTACAGTGAGGTACTGCTTCATGATTGTCAAAGCATCAAACTGGCTCAAAAGTCTAATATACTTTCGGCAAGAATCATAGCTCTGCTCAAGCTTACTTAAAAAGCTTTGAAGGTATTCAGGAGTTCTACTACTAAAGTCAGTTGTTGCTTTAGCCTCCAAAGCACTCAGCGAACTCAGGATGTAATACTTGTAGACATCCTGCCATGACATAAAACCCTTAGGCAATGAATGACCATAAATATCGACAAAAGCTTGTATCATTTTTGACAATGCAGACAAGCTACTTTCCTCAATGCATGCATAAACTTCATCACTAAAGCACTCAAAGTTCAAACCACGCAACCCAGCTATATTTTTGAAGTTCAGGTTATTGATAAAGGAAACATTTTTACATTCTTGCCCAACGACTTTGTAATAATGAGCAAACCTTATATTGCCATTTGTGTGATCAGGTTGTGCTATTGGTGATAAATCTTTGCTATTTTCCAGCTGTAAATAACACTCTGACAACAGACCAAATACATAAGCAAGGCGAAGTTTGCTGCACCCATTGACTGCAGGATAAACCTTTGTTGAGATGGTTTCAATGGTTTTCACACCATTACCAATTATTTCTCCTTTATAACCTGCAACTTCGGATGTAATTTCATCATTTGTCCAAACATCAGAAACAAGGACAGCACTTAGAAAATGCAATAGCACCTGCATAAAAACAATGAAACAATGAGGTCTCACCAATATGTATGCCTTTAAATCAATGCATTTTTCTTTAAGGTTTATGTTTCAAACAAATTTGTGCAAATGCTCATATCATACCTCAGTACTGTTCAAGTCATATGTATCAGCCAATCTTAAAATATCCTTCAAAATGTGCCTTTTTTCTAACTTTACAGACTCAATGAGAGAGATAACAACATTCTCAATGTAGATGGAGTCCCTGGACAAAAAGCGCTCTGTTTCAACCCCAGGAATTATTTTCTGTAGAGCTCTAGAATGCTCAGCAAATCTCTTTTGCTCTTCTAACTTCAGTTTCCACTCTCTCCAGAAAGAAGACTGTACCTTGCCAAGTTTATCTATATCATCTGGAAAAAAAAAATCAAACAAGGTCTTTTGTCAGTATGATCAAGTCCACGATCAATACAAGCATGATAAACAAACAACATTTCAACTGGACAGCATAATAAAGAAAAAATAATGTAACCGGGGAATCAACTACATAATAAATGTATAAGGAGAAGAAAATAACAGAAAAGCCAAGTACCAGAACTGGGTGTTGTATGTTTTTCCTTGAACCTCCTCTTCAATAGCTGCTTTCGTTGAATATGGTCACTACCTACTCCTGAGTTGTGTAGCAAGCTGTATGCCATCCCAACATTCATAATGCTACAAATTTCTTGGTAGTCTTTTCTTATTTTGAGCTGTTCTTCTATAACTTCTACCCCATTAAAAGCATCCGAGAGATTGATAAGATAGGAGCACCCGATTATATCTTCCTCTTCAGTGACTGGAGGTTCCATAACAGATCTTGCTAAAGAGGCGATCAGGTTGTCTCTGGGGGCAAAACCATTTCTAGCCAACCAGGACAGAATAGTCACCACAGCCTGTGCTTTGATGTTTAAATACTGCTTTCTAGTACTCAATTTTTCACTAGGATATCCGTTCCTACTCAATTCAATCAACCAAGGGAGCTGTAAGGCAGCAAAAGACAGAACTTTCCCATTTTCAGTCAAGCCTGACGCCCAATCAGTTTGATTGCCCACAGCCAAGGTTTTAGCAACAATGGAAAGCTTTTCTCTAATTTTCTCTAGATGAACATCCTGATTGTCACTGCTATAACCATCGAACTCTTGAAAACGCGGATTTCTATCTAGTATATTTTGAAAACTTTGTTTTTGAATTGACTCAACAGTTGAGCCTTGCACTGAAAAATTTGAAGGATTTGTCCCAGTTGACATGATTAATGTTTCACACTGGCCTTGCATATCCAGGTCTTTCCATGCATGGAGAAGCTCACCGATGGACTCCTCATCACAGTGGCTCAACGCGAACCCTAATAGCTGCTTTCGAGAATCTACTTCCATATTTTCAAGGGCAGGACCTCTTGCAATTGCAGCACATAAATCCCATATGTTGCCATGTCCTTTTCTGGCCAAAACAAGACAAAGATCAGATGCCAATTGTAAATCACCAGAAACTGCAGCTTCTCTAGCAATAGCTTCTTCAACAGCTGATACATCATCAGCAGACCTCAAGCCAAGAAGTCTGGCAACCTCAACAAGCTCCTCAACATGAAAATATGCTCCGGTTTGATTTGTGATTGCCATTTTTACAATTTCCATAGGATCTTTTATTTGCCTGAATTGCATGGGCAGAATATTCACCCCAAGGTTTGGAAGCTTAACTGTAAGTGCCTCAATAATATCCGCCTCAGCCTTCACATTTCCACTACTTGGATATAGATTAAGACATTCTTTAGCTTTCCAGACCTAGAGGAAAACAGAGTAACATAATTTATTAATTTATGTGGTTGAGATTAGGTTACGTTAGCATAAACAGAGTCTCTTAAAGAAAACTTCAATATTTTTAGAAAATGGCATTATGAGGTAATTATGAATTAATACTTGTTAATATGATGAAGGATGCACTATCCATGAATAAATTCAAATATTAGATGTTGCATTTAGTAAGTTGATACACCCAAATCTTACTTCAGAACAAGAAATACTTGAAGCTGAGAAAAAGTACTCCCTAGCTGCTTGAATGACAAGGTTTTCTGCCTTCTCTGATGCCAAAGAAACAGAACTTGTACCCTTCAAATAATTACGTGCAAGAGAAAACTTCCCAGCTTTAAGCAGTCCTCTGCAAAACTCAATCAAAATATATTCTAGGTCCAGAAAAGGAAATGCCTTTTCCCTCAAGTACTGCATATCACGCCACATGCTGGCCCATTCACTATCTGATCGGCCAGGCTGACGGCGAATAAATTTAGAAAGAATAAGGCGAATAATCTGTTTCACACCCTTTTCATCTGATTGAGCCCCTAGGAAAAAGTTTAATGGCTTCGGAACCTGCATAGAACATAAAGATAACATAGTAAACACAACATGGCAAAAAAGCAATTACAGGAGGCTTAGAATCATATTGCTAAATAGAGAAGAGAAACAATGCAAAATATTAGTGCAATCCAAATTAGTGACACACAAATTCCAAGTATAGTCACTCACGTTCATTATCATTTCCACCATTAAATTGAAAGATTTAAAGATCCCCTTCATGAACAACTTAAGGCATACAAGTTTGATTGTCACAGGAGAAACTACGGACCTGGTAAAATGCCAAAAGTCTCCCTGCTTCAATATGACTTTCAGCAACTCTAAGTCTTCTCTCAAGACTCTCAACTTGAATTGCACCATCTGCACAATAATACATATTTTAGAGTACTCAAAGTTGATTGATAGAAAATGCAACTGAATCAACAATATCGTCAAGAATTTACTCAACATCACGTGCAAATTACAATACACAAGCAGCATCTATCTTGGTAAGCTTTGGAGATTGGGATTTAAATTTTACACACTCCAGCTCAACAACACAGTTAAACATAGGACTGTTCAAAATAACTGCCGAACTGCTGAACCGACACTGAAACTAACCGAACTATATTTGAGAGTTTACAAACTGAGCCTATATTTCATACACAATTTACTAACCAGCACCTAACTGAATCTGTTAGGAACCCAAGAATTGGATTCCAAAGAAAGAACCGTCTTTATTAGAAAATAGGAAATAACATGAGAGGAAGCTCTCCTCAAGGGTTTCTCCCTCACAATAGAGTTGCTACTCTATTCACAAATGATTTACAATATTGAAAAATATCAACTCTACATTGTATTCTCCTATTTATACAAGTAGCCTTATAATCATCTCAACTACTAACAAACTAACTAACTTCTATAACAACCCTGCTTTAACCACTCTAACTAACCACTATTCTACATCACAGTTCAGCATTGCAGGCAGAATTGGCCATTTCACGAACGCGGGAGCAGCTTCCCAGCCCGGAGCGGGTTTTAACCCGGTTTCACTTTCAACCCCTGAAAAACTAAAATTGCCCTTAAGTTTTTAACTATAATGAGGGAAATTTTGGATTTTCCTCAAACCTTATTTGCTTCCTCGTCCTTCTGCGTCTTATTTCCTTGTAACCTTTCTGCCATACTTGTACTGTGTGTTAAATATTATCATTCTCTAAGATTATTATTGTTAAAGTTATTGTATTGTTCAATTAAGTTATATTTAGTACTAGTTTCAATCAGTTTACGATGCATTGAATTAATTAATCGCTGGTATGGTTTTGTCTAGTGAGTTTTCAGAACTAGAAAATTTTACAACAGGAACTCTTAAATTTTAATTCTTTAAGGGAAGGGGTATAAAAGATTCCAAATTCCAACTATTTACAGACCAAATGACATTCTAACTAAGTTTATTGCTGCAAATATATTATGTAGAAAATATCCCCAACCAAGTATGACAAATGGCTACTATAATCCACTGGTCTGAATGCATCTGTTAAGATTTCTACACATTCTCATCCAAGAAAATTCCAAGGTAGGACCAAGCTTTGAGAGATCACCCCAGACATCCCTCTTCGAGAATTATTTTAGTTTGTTCCTGAAATTCCCCCAAAGTAAAGAATGATTTGTTAAAAATATGATGCCCTCTTAAATTTATATGCTTTCGTAAACCTCCCAGCTTATAGTTTTGCCCCTGTAATATGACTTTTTCTACTATTGTAGTGAAGCTCTGGAATGTTAACAAGTTCAATAAACCACCCCCAAGAAATTACTAAAATTACATCATTATATTGCTGTTAAGATATTAAAATAAACATGAAGCCAAACTCACCATGCATTTGAGGAAGCTTAGATAGTATGGCTGCCATGATGCTCCACCTATCTGTAACTGTGCACAAATATATGCATTGCAAAGCACAATCAACAGCTTCAGCTTCAGTTTCAAAATAGACATTGCTTTGGAAGTTTCTGCACCCTTCCTCAATTACCACCAAGCACATGTCCAATTTATTGTGCAAAGCAATTTCCTTCAACCATCTCACTAGAAATGATTCCTCTATACTTTGATTTGTACAATGGGTGCCATCTCCAAATAAGGACACCCTGTGAAACTTTTCACGCATAAATGGAATAGCTCTGTTGTGTAATCTTTCAGTTACACTTTCCTCTTTGACTCCCTTAAGCATAAATTTAAATCTTTCATAGTTTGGCAATTCTTCCCACATGACGAGACTCATATGTAAGCCTGTTTCGCTATCATTGTCATCAGAGTATATAACTTGATGCAAGTATAGGACATCCTGATGGAACTGCTGCAACTCAGATATGCCTTTGCGAAGAGCAAACTCAAGTAGGCTCAGGCAATTATCCAGCTGCCCACTAAAATCATCCATAGATCTAGCTCTATCCATATACCATTTTGTGAGCTCATCAATTGACGGCCAAAGAAGCCCAACAAAATGCTTAACAAGAGGCTCAGTTTTGACTTGGATTTGAATGTCGTGGTTTTTAACTGGTGCATTAATGAAGTCCACCATTTTCTTGCATTCAACCCAATCATCTTGCCTGACAGCAACACCAGAAGGAAAAGACCTCCCAGGAAGAAGCTGCCCATAAATTTGGACAGGAACTGTTTCTGGGATGGAGGCTAAAACATCCAACACAAAGGGAGACAAAGAATAAGGATGACGCTTGAAAAGCAAGTTCAACGCACCAATTTTTCCACTTTCTGCAAGTGCTACAGCAGCTTCATTAATAGGCATAATACGGAATTTGTTGTATTCCTGCACAGAAAATCTGCAGAAAACTGTGTCAATGAACTCTGAGTCAGTGGAAACTATCAGAATTATTGAACAATTGTGAATTTTCAAAATTCTATCATTTGTAGCCATTTAAGTGAATAAGTATATGCCTGTAGATCTTGCTCAAAAGCTATGGTACACCCAAAAGAAATCAACAGAGAATTGTTAGTTTCAATTTTTACTATCACAACCATGAAGTTTCAAGAATATTCTATGATTAAGATTTTAAAGTACATAATATATTATATGTCAACATTTTGTACAGTTAAAAACCTGAAGATTTCCTTGTATATGTGTCTACATGTAGTAAAAACAGAATGAGTAAACAAAAGGTGGTGTATTTAACCAGCTTGACTATTTGTTCAATATTCCACCCCCTTGAAATGAACTTATCATATAAATGCTACTTATCTTGCCAATAAAAATATGACATTTAAAAAATCTATAATGAATATTATAATGAAATTATTACTATAGTACTGCATATGAATCCTAAGGCTTAATAAAGTTGACATGATACTAAAACCAATAAGAGTCAAGAAAGTGAGCAACCAAAAGGATCATGTCAAAATAAAGTGACCCAAAACTTACTTGAAGTACCATGTGAGTTTTACCCTGTGAGTTATGTGGTGCTAGTTTTAAATTGGTTCCTCGTGTCATCTTACAATGAAGCTTGTGTCTCACTTGAACTCTGTTTTGAAATTTTTGGTCAAAGCTAAATGTGCTGAATGTCCTTGAAGTAATTGTGATTATTATTTTTGATGATTATGATAGAAATAAAGAGGGAACAGTCTAGAGGTGATTTGCAATCCATGCACAAGGATATGTCCATGCTTCATAGTATCTCATATCTCATATCTTTAAGGATGTTTTTACTGCCTAGGAACTTGGACAAGATTGAGTTCATGGCTTACATCTATGAAGTGCATATTTTAAAAGGGTCTCCCAACAAATACTGAGGTATTGGGCAACTTTGCTTAAATGATGTTCTCTTTTTTTTTTCCTTGTAGCTTTGTTTTTTTAATTGTCTAAAAGGATTTCTTATTCTCTAACTCATTGTAATTTCTTCTCTGACTTGCTGGTCCTTTTTAATTTTTTAAGTATGACTTGCAAAAGTAAAATATATTAGAACTATAAATATCACAGCAAAAGCATAGAAAACGTGTAGTTTATGTAATTGAAATATCTAGAACTTTCGGTATACCTGCCCATGTTTATTCCAAGAAATGTTTCCAGTCTGTCCCTAAATTGCAAGATTTGAAGTCTAGCCAAGCGAACATCCCATACATGACTAGAATCATCATCATCTACTTCTGAGAATCTATGATGGTCAGTGATGCGTAGACCATAAGCCAACAAAGCCTTCACAGCATCTTCTGTTGGTCCAACTCTATGAACACATTCAGAAAGTACAAATTTTTTATCGTTTATATTTGCCAAAAATATACTAACTTCATTTACTCCTTGGCTAGAATTCAACCACTGTGACTTCAGAACTTCATCCTTATCCAATCCATGACTGTCAGCAAAGTCCAGAGCAGCTTGATAACTTCTCTTCCTAATCAGTAAACCATACATTTCAGGGACAGATTTCTCAGAAAATGAAACAAGGAACCAGAGCAACCTAGAAAGGTGAAACTGTTTAAGCCTATCTTCAACAACCCACTCTGTCTGGTGCAACTCCTCTGGAAATCCAAAATCAGAAGAACTGGATCTTTCTTTGGATGATAAACTTGCTAAAAGAAAAAGATAGCCCCTACGTTTCTGCGCTCTTCCCAGAGCAGGTAAAAAATATGCAGGATTCTCTTCCTGGACCTTTAAACCATTTAGAATGTCTATCAACATAACCACACCATTCCTATCTACAGTGGCAATGACATGGTCACACCACCAAGTAAAATCCAAAAAAGATCTATTACCCCCATTCGATGAATTACCAGATACAAATGAATCATCCTTCTCTCCCAAGACAAACCGGGAGAGTGTCAAGCCTTCTTTGTCCAGCTTAAAAATATGCAAGCATCCTGTCAAATCCAGAGTAGCAATGAATGTAGCTTGTGGCGAGATTAGCAACTTTGGATATATTAGCTGACCTCTATAACCTTTTGGTTTCGAATATAATCCCTCAAACTGTAAAGAAAATACCTGTTCCAGTTCTTTGCTTGAATTTTTATGCCAAAGAGAAAGATGGCAAGATCCTAGAAGATATATAAAACTAGTTAGCAAAGAACTGGACAAACAATATTTTGCAGATAAATGACTTGTGAGACCTACGGTCTATTCTTCATGTTCTAATAATAAGTTATTGATAAAAGAAGCAAAACAATTAGAGAATATAATAGAAGAGGTACAAAAGAAAAGGGTAAGGTGTGTATGAAATTTAAATTGGGATCACATAATACAAGTTCAGTAATGAACTACTCCTTGTCAGTGATCAAAATAAAAATAAATTCAGAGTCAACCCTTGTATAAATTAGCAAATAATTGAGAAAATAACCCAAATAACATGCATACCAGACAGCGTGTGAACAGCCACAAAAAGGTTAAGTTCATGGTGGTGGTCAAAGCAAAAAACGTTGTTACGGAGATGACTCCTGTGATAAAAGGCGTACTTAGGAAAGGTAGAAATGCCTTGTCCATAACTGATCTCAATTTGTTGAAGTGAACCATCTGACGTAATGGCAGTGAACCTACACTCCAAACAATGCCAAAACTTAAAACTTGTACTCAATTCTTTTTAACTGTTTAAGTTTACCAAATTATGCAGCATAACAGAAACAAAGGAGGGCACTGAAAAGAAAATCACTTACAAGTAAGACTCATGCATATCAGAGTCATTGTCAGAAAATAAACCAACAATAGGTGAAGAGATTTTCAAATGCTTCTTTGTAATTTCTGCCACAACTTCACCATTAAATTTGATAAAATACAGAGTATCATAGTCATCAGCAACACCAAGAATTTCATCATCTTCAGACCAAGCTCCCACACTAAATGTACCAAAATCAGAACCTACCGAACACCATTTCAACATCAGAATCAAATTGTTTTCAATTTCTAAATCAAAGCAATATAATCACATCTAGCATTCCGAAGAAGTTCTTACCGGTAAAAATTGCATAGGATTGCTGATAATCATCCTCTTTACTCAGAATCGTAATTCGATTTCCAGCAACAACAGCAACGTACTTGGCCGTAGGTGAAACAAACAGCGACACTAATTTCCTAAGTCTCTTTGGTTCATTATACTCGGTCCATTTCTCTTTGAGTTGAGTCACACCTTCACCGCATGAACAATAGATGAATCGGATCCAAATAAACTTAATCAAGATCATCGAAATTCCATAACCGAACCTGCTCGGTAGAGTAAAAAAGTACGTACCTCGAACTGAAAGGAGAGAAAGCAACGTTCCCTTGGAATCTTCATTTGCCTGAAATCGAACGATGATCAATGGAAGTCAGTGAATGGGAATGAGAATTGAAAGAGGAAATTGAAGAAACCCTGACCTGGTGTTGTTGATTTTGTTGAAGTTGGAGTTGAGGAGGGTAATTGGAAGCGTGGCGTCGCGTCTCGTAAAGCGGAACCTCCATGTGAGAACCGTTACTGTATCTTCTCCAAAACCCCAAACTTCAAGAACTGCGCCACATTCGAGTTCTAAGTACAGAAATGCAGGTGAATTGTGCTTCGGTTCATTCTCACTTCTCGATGATCTGAGTTTTTTTTTTCTTTTCTTTTTTTCTTTGCCTTGCTATAGTTGGGTTTTCGTGATACAGATCTGATGCGTATTAAGCCCAATACTGATTAAAAGTTAGTGAAATATTATTCACACGTCTTCTTACTCATCACCCCTCTTTCTTTCCTCAAAATACTCCTTTCAAAAATAAAATTGTCTCCTATGGTTAAAAAAAATAAAATTTTGTCTCCTATAGTTAAAAGTTATATGGCCATTTTATAGGTTGGAATGTCTTCAAATCTGTAATTCTCTACTTTTTAAGTTTTGGACAAATTTATTGTCATGTTTAAGGTTGTGTAAAATATTTAATTATAAAAAACTGATCTTTAACCATATTCAAACTAGATTGAAAAAATCCAAATATCTTATATGTAGTTTACAACTACATTCATTTAAATTTTTAAGATTTAATTTGGTTTTATAATTGGTTTATAGAATGATATTTGTGACCCATAAGAAATTATGTATACTTCTAAACTTTTTGTGTCATTGTTTGGTCTCATCTTTCTTGGATATCAAACTTGTGTAGGGTTGACTTTTATTTTGAGACACCCACAAATAACAGTTTTCTTTGGACTGTGATCCTTTCATTAACACTTCTTAACCTTTTTAAGAAACAATGCATAGCTCACATTTAGACCTTGATCACATAGTTGCTTATATTAATCGAGTTTACAGTTAATCCTTCTACCAAGAACATATCATCAATTATAGGGAGTTCAGGATATACCAGTTTGCTTGTGTCCTTGATTTTTTCTCTTACTTCATCACCAAAAGTAACATAACTATTTGAGTAAGGTTTCAACTCTTTAAGATGGTTCTTTTCTCCAGTTATGTGTCTGGAACGTCCACTATCAAAGTATCAATCTTCTCTTGAGAAAACTCTAAGAGACGTGTGAGTTATGAGACATGTGAACATTTTTTTGGGTTACCACATTTTCCTAACTTAAATGTTCTTGCCTCATTTTCTGTTGAACCTTGGATGATTATAAGACTAAGGGTATCCATATAGCTTATAACAAAAGGGCCTTATATGATCATATCTTTCAAAGTGGTGACATCTCCATGAATATCTCTGGTTTCTTCTGTACCAAGGGTATTTGTGTTTGGCAAGATGTTGAAACATGTGGTCAAACATCAGAACCTCATTTTTCTTTTTAAGGGGGACAAACTTCTTAGTGGAATCTAGGGGTGTGTATGATTGGTTATTTTTAGAAATCAAACTATAACCATTTTTAAACCATTTAAATGGTTTGCATTCAAAACCATAACCACATTTGTATAAAACTAAATATAAATTTGGTTATGCTTATATAATCGGTTTTCTTTTAAAAATTCGGTTTAAGTTTTTTTCAAATAAAAAATTTAAAAAAATAATAGTTTTTTATTTTAAAAAAATTTCAAAATTTTTTTTCCAAAAAATTTAGTTTTTTTTTTCAAAAACTTTAATTCTCGATTATATCTAAAGTGAAGGCTCAATTAAAATCTCACAAGTGATACTCTAAAATGCTACTATTAGATATAATCTATGGTTTAGAATCAATAAAAACTTTGATGAAAGTATTTAGATATTTCTTCACTCAAACTTACCTCCAAGTCTTTCCATTTTCATGCTTGTACTTTTGTTTTTTTTACAAAATTGTTTCTCTCAATATCACTCTTTCCATTTAATACTATAACATATACAATCTTGGTATCAAAAATATTTTGGCAAAGGAGTTTTGCTAAAGGATGATTATGTTTTTTATTAATAATACTTTGTCTCCTCGATCTCATAAAACCAATATTTTGCTAAATAAAGTAAAAAATACACGAACTTCTATCTTCACAAATTCAACATATATTAACTATACAAATAAGATGCATTTTCCAATCCAAAAATAAAGATGTAAACTACAGTACAACAACATTTTTTTTAAGAAATTTATTTTATCTTTACATGTGCAGTTTGTCGATGGTAACAAAGTATAGGTATAGAGAGAGGAGGTATAATATATATAACTTGGAAGAGATAAGAAAGTAGCAAGTAATGAAAGAGAAATTTAAGAAAAAATCCAAATGGTTTACCAAAAACCTTGAAACGTGTTGGTTGGAGTTGTTAAATTAATCCAATCACCATGATAACTTCTATAGAATAATTAAATGAAAAGAATTATTAAAAAAAAGGTAAATATTTGAAAAGATGTGAAAGTAATATTGTTTGATAATGTCTACGCATTCTATTTTTTTACCTATTAAATCTATATTATTAATTAAATTTAATCGTAAAATTTGAAGGAGTCACCGATGAGGAATTTAATTGAGCTCTCATCTTAAACATCACTTTAATTTATTTTTTTAAAATAATAATTTTTTTCAAAAAAATATATTTATTTATTCAAACTTTTTTCAAAAAAAAATTCCAAATTTTTTTTCTTCTAAAAATTTATAAATGAATTGAAACATTTGAATTTTAGATAACTACCCATATATCGAGAGTCTAGAATCACAATAACTAAGGTTTTATAACGTGTAAGAGCAACTTTAATGCAGGGTTGTTAAACCAAAATTTTGTGTAGCTTACCTTAGTAATAAAGAATTTGCATTATAGTAGAGCTGACATGACATCTAAGTGAACTAAAATTTAGTTCTCATCATCTATATAGTTAACGTTAACTATGTGAAATATATTATAATATTATTTATTTAATTAATAAAATATTTCAACAGCATTAAAGTAATGACATGATATTTGAAAATAGTGGGGTCAAGTTTTGGTTTTTTATAGACAACCATCATTAAAGTAAAAACTACTCAAATCAACTATGAATTTTTTAAATCCTACAAAACACTTTGGACCCACAAAAAATATCTTAGTTTACCCATTTAGCTTACTCCCATTAAAGATGCTCTAAGACTAGAATAATGGACGAGACTATTCTTGTCACAACGTGAACTATCATTACAATCTCATAGGTTTACCAATCGGGTGAACAAATCACTGTTAAGTCTCAGTTGTTATCTAAATCAGTTCTCCCAATTCCGTAGACATGTGAAAACATTAAAATTAAATAAAACTATATAATCATAAATAGAAATTCATTATAGATATAGGCACATAGAATTACATAAATCACATGATTATGGTACAATCATCAATAGGGAATATAATATAAGAAGACTAACCAACCATCCTTAAGAGATTCAGGGTTTTAAAAGACTTACAACGATTATAAATTAACCTCTAATGGTAGCCTTCATTTTCCCTTCTATTTGATACAATAAAACACCCTAGACTCTCTAAATATCAGAATCTTAATGACTAAATAAGATTTTTCAATTTATAGAAAAAAAATGAAATTGGTGGATTGTTTTGCGCCTATACTTCATCTTGTTGCAATTGGATATTTACTCTAGTTTCTAATTCTGGCAGGATGTTTTAATTGCACCAGACGTATACTTAGTTGTGCCGCTATTGATGCATCAGATGTTGTCGATGGTCCAATTTTGTTGATTGAGATTGTTCGGAGAAGAAGTTTGAGTGATTAAATAAATGTCAAAGTTTTGAAATTTTGTGAAGAGTGTTGTCAAAGATGAGAAGGAACTAGATTCGCGGGAAACACTTTGAAGCATGGTTGATTTTATGAGTTCTAATCTTAACTTGATGTTATAAAAGTTGGAAACATATCATGTTGTTAAATGTACATCACAAAATCACTATATGTATTGAGCCTGAAAATCATATTTAACACCAAACTTGTATTTGTGACAAGGGAGTCGACATTCACCAATTAATCGGCTATGAGTTCGAGACGCTTGCAATAAGATTTGATGGAGAAAAAGTCTTCCAAGTTTGTGTTTTTGAATTGGTTCTCGAGTTGGACATCTCTCGAGTATTTGTTGACGTGGTACATAGTCGTAACACAGTTCCAAAATTGTTTAGTCGACTCGTGAATCACAAGTATAAAGTTGAGGATATCTTGTGATAGATTAGCATAAATTCACTACAACACGACAACATCAAGATGATTCTAGGGTTCTATATCATTAATCTTGGTAGTGGCTTTCGTTTAAAGAGCTTGCTTATTGATAGGCGAAATGATGTCACTATAACAAGTAACACTTTTTATGACAAAACTAACACCTTGAACAATAGAAAAGCGAGGGAATAGGTATTGGGAGCACCAACTTTAATTTATTTTTAAATTAACAATCCTTTACCTCAATTTTTTAGAAAAGCATGGGAGTAGATCTATAAGAGAGCTCGCTTCGATACCCGATCTTTGCATTTTATATTTTTTTTTCTTCAGTTGTTTAGTTTGTATTTCTCACTTGGCCCCTATCCAAATTCTATTTTTATCATTGTTATTTTTAATAATTTTTTAATAGTATTTACCTCGACTACATGGTTCAACTGAGAGGTGATATATTTTGCATTAATCAATTTTAAAATACTATTTTCAAAATCATATTTTAATTTTTTGTCTGATATGTAAAAACCCTTTGGTTATACTATAAAACCGACGTTATATATATATATATATATATATATATATATATATATATATATATATATATATATATATATATATATATATATATATATATATATATATATATATATATATATATATATATATATATATATATATATATATATATATATATATATATATATATATATATATATATATATATATATATATATATATATATATATATATATATATATATATATATATATATATATATATAATTTCCAGAATATAGCGCTATTATGTTTTTTATATTTGATATTTTTAATTAATATTGTTACGTCGGATTGTATATAAAACCGACGTGAAACATTTATTGCATGAGATACTTCATACTACAATC